GGGATGTGCTTTCCTGAACTCTGACCGCTCGCATCAATCAACTCAATGGTCTGTTTGGCTCCAGAGATGTTCTGGTCGGCCACCACCAGACATGCACTCTCTTTGGCCAGAAGGCTGGCCACAGCCCTCCCAATGCCTGAACCCCCGCCCGTCACCACTGCTATACGGTTGGCAAACATCTTCAGATCTATCTTCAAAAACTGGACACAATTTGCGACAAACTTTTATTTATAAAGTTTTTCCTCAAAGTCTTGACTAAAACTGAAATGTTTGTTATCTTCTAATGAATTACGCGTTCAATGTATGCGATAAATGTCTCCCTATTTCTCCCCTCTATATAACAGTAGAGCTTATTATAACTGTATCACAATTCTCGGGTTTTATACATTTAACCATTCAATCAATATCATTAATGGATTTTTATTTTAAAAAGATCACAGATTAGATTATATAATCAAAAGTACATTTGAGTACTTTGTTATACACAGTACTAGGTCTAAGGGTAATGATTAGTCTGGTTATTAAAAACTAATTTTATTAAATCATAACTTAAATAGTCTATTACTGTATTGAAATGTTTAAGTGATATTTATATAATAAATATTATTGTAAAATGTAAATTAGATATTTTAGTATATGAACTAGGAGACAATTCTAAAGTTGTATTTTATATTGAACTTTTTATTTTATTATTTACGATAGAATATTTATTTGACGGCTATGAACATTGAAAAATATTGACAATATTTTGACCTAGATCTACAATTATTGTGTTTGAATTCGTTTTGAATAAACTTCTTTCAAATTGATCGAGTTCAATTAACATAGTTTTCAGTTATTTTTAATAAACAAATGTAGATTTACTTTGAAATATATTTTATTCAATAATTATTTAAAAAGTATTCAAATTATTCCAGAGTTTTGAGCTTATATTATGAATTGTATAATCAGTTGTGTTTAAAGTATTGGTCAGCGATATGTTTGGCACAAGTGATCGCTTCATCCATTTGATCCATTGATGTGCACTTTAATGAAGACATCTTATCCTTACGTTTATTTGACAAGAGTTGAAAAGTTTGCAATTTGTCTGATATATGAGACAACCATTCATTTGCTTTCAGAAACTTCTGGTATTTATTGGGAACTGTTGTTTGAATATAGAATTCCTTCCCATTGGCAGACGTGTGGAAAAGAGCAGTGGGTTTGTGTCCCAAATGGTCTAATCCTATCTTAAATGCCATGTTTGGGTCACCTTTTGTTCTGAATTTATGCACAAAATATTGCAAACCATCGGTTGACTCAATTGTTTGCAATTCTCGGTTAAATAAATCAGTCAAATGTTTCTCATATTTGTCTAACTTTTCTAACAATTGATCCACACTTTCATTCATATCGAGGGGTAGATTGTGTCTTAAATTAATGGTATAATCACTTAAAATATCTTTGATATCATATAAATATTTTCTATTTGTCTCTATTACTTGTTTATTCAAAGAGTTATTTCTCATTTCGATATCAATTTCATCTCTAATTGTCTGTAATTTTTGTGTCATTTCTTGACTTAAATTAATTGAATACTTAATATCTATTCGAGTAAACGCTTTGACAAGACGTTTATTATCAGAGACCACGGATTCATATTTCTCGATCTCTTCATTCAGTACTTCGCCAACAGTTTTCTGATTTAATATCAATTCAGGGAAGGCGTCGCCCAACAGGTCTACAGTTATGGCCGAAAGTTGAGTCAAAAGCTGACGCGGACTAGAAATACCGAAATCATTGGCAGCGATTCCAATAGATTTCCTAATAATTTTCCTTAATATAAATCCCGTTCCCCTATAACCGGTCTTAAGGCCATCACTAATAGCTATTGTGAACATTCGTGAGTGATCTGCGAGAATGCGATACGATATGTCCAGTGGATCGTCAGTCTGATGACCATTCGGTTTGCTGTGACTATTCTAATGACACATAAAACAATTCGTAAAACATATGAATCACAAAATCTGTGTTTAAATACATTTTGTATGCATTGAAAGTAAGGCAGGAAGAGGTCGGTCTCGTAATTGGATTTCACATTTTGAACCACTGATACAATCCTTTCTAAACCCATTCCGGTGTCAACGAAATGCTTATGAAGTGTTTCTAGTCTTCCGTTTGAATTTCTAAACACAAAATTGGTTTAGAGTTTTAGTTTAAAGCATCTCTTGTTTTAAATCAGAGTTTAAATCACTTATTGAATTGAATGAAAACAATATTCCAGATCTCAATACAATTTCTCATTAAGTGCTCTGAGTTTGACGATATCGTGGGCTCTAATAAGTAGTGTATTTCAGTGCATATACCGCACGGACCCGTTTCCCCCATTTCCCAGAAGTTCTCCTTTGATCCCAAAGGTATGACTCGGTCTTCAGGTAATCTGTGGTTTAAATTCAAATCATTTACAATCTCTTCAACTAATAAACAAATTGTAACCCAATTTGAAGCCAAATATCACGGGTTTCGAGGTCTGGTTCTAAACCCAAGCGTTTGTCTCCACCAAAGTATGTGACAACCAATCGGTTGACATCTAATTTGAAGACTTCAGTCAACAGATCCCATGCCATACGACACGACTCTTTCTGGTGGTGTAAAACAAACACTCAAATCAATGTCCAAATGGTGTGACAATTGAATTACTTTATAATAGTCACCGAAAGACCAGTTGCCCAACATCTCGAAGAATGTGTGGTGTCTGCCATCGGTTCCAACGGCACTGAGATCGCAGTGCTTACCACCGACACGGATGCACTTCTGGGAGTTCACGCACCGCACGTATCCATTCATGGGATCAGTTGGCGATAGTGTGTCCAGAAATATGGGTTTGAATTGATTCATACCGGCGCTGATGAAGAGGAGTGAGGGGTCGTTGTGGGCCACCACTGGACTCGACCCCACCCTCACGTGACTCTCTCGAGACACGAAGTAATCGATGAATGAATTGCGAATCCATTGCGAACTCATGAGCCATGTCTTGGGCCGCACACCATGGCTGCTGTGAAGACATTTGCTGGATATCAACCAACTATTACTTCTGCAAACAGTCCTCAAAGCGCTTGATTTGATCAATACATGCATTCATGCGGTAAATCACAAACAATTCAATTGTCTTTCAAGTCTTCAAAGTTTACAAACTTTTGTCAACAAAACTCATGTGTTTTCACACAAGGCGTCATTCACAAAGTACATACGCAAAATTTTGGTCAAAAATTGACCCCCCCTCCCTCATCATACATAGGAGTTTAACTTGGGGACATACGCTTTGGCCCCCCTCCCCCCTAGGCGTGCGTATGTACTTTGTGAATCACGCTCAAACACACCAACCGATCGCCATATAATGTGTCACTCATTATATCCCCGTCAATGCACTCAACAGTTATGTCATATATTTTATTCGCATATTTCATATCATTATAAATATAAATACCATTAAAATGTAAGCAAATTATATAAACAGATGCAAATAAAAAGTTGGTCACAATAAATAGGTTCGACTGTATTGTACTATAAATGATTGAATACAGACATCGATACAATCGGTAATCGAAATGAGTTGACAATCGATGGGAAATGTATTTTATTGATTACTTGGTTGTCATGACAGCGACGCGTGTATTTGATTGGCTGTGGAGCGCAAGCCTTTGAACGACAGCACTGTTAGCCTGTTTGCAGCAATAGATAGACTGCGGGATGAAATGTATAACTCTTCAGCTTTTATTGATCCGACCATAAGATAATCGTTTCATAGACTTCATACAAACAATGCATTCACGCTTAGGTGAACACACATTTGTACGCAATGTTTGATAGCAATGATTGGTAAAAATGTTTTGCAAACTATATTTTAGTAACTTTTTCGACGCTTTTAATGCATTTGATGTGCTTTTGAGGAAATGCTTGCATCTGACAGAACAGACAATTGCTATGAAAAGCAGCGGTTGTTATAAAGTATGAAAAATATGAATAAAGTATTTGTTATAATTAGAGGCAAATGTGGAAAAACTTGTTATGCGAGTAAAGCACTTATTCGGACACAACCTATATATTGAAATAACTTGAAAAATGCATTTTCTTCTGGTTTTGAGATTTATTCAAAGTTTCCTTAAGAGTATTATTTGGGAAATAATTTTTGTTTTAAAACAGTAATAATAG